GCCATACAAACCGTACATTCAAGGATACAGTACTGACCAAGCTCGACGTTGCTTAACCTTGGTGACCGTACGGGAACCGGTCTTTCATCTTGATGTGGCTGTAAGTCACATAACAGCTGAGCAATCTCTTGCAAACTCTCTTCATATAGAAGTGTGGAAACCAGTCAGTGAATATGAGCACAGTGTGTAATGGGTTTCAATATTACCAACCCCAAACCAGAAATTTACCTCAAGCTCACAGTTAACGTTTGTCCTCTCACTCGTCCGTGTAAATGAGGCTATAAGTTATTGGAGTTCCCTGGGTAATTAACTCTCATTAATCCACTTTAAGTGTAAAAGATACAGCCGAGGACCCAACTTCCTCTCAGAATTTTGGGGAATTTCCGTCTCAGAAACAGAAATGCTGAAGAACATGGATATATTTGCTACGTTTGGCACAAGGGCACTAGTATGGGGTAATACATAAAGAGTGAATTTACTACTAAGTCGTAATCATCTGCTAGATCTGCTCGCTAAACATTATGCTATATCGAGGCTTCGAGCTGAAGAGTTGTACTATTCGATATTTTTATTATTCATCCAGAAAACATTATTAAGGAGAGAGAACAGTAAAAGAACTAGAGATAAGAAGACATGATAACGACTGACATTTTTTTTTAAATTGTCGAAGATCAAAGTTGACTGGAAGCAAGAAGCCGGAAGAAAGTTCCACAAGCGAGAAGTACGACAGAAGAAAATGATGCGACGTAGCTGCCAATCTAATACTGGGCGTAAATTCATAAAGGCTAGATACCAAAAAGCAACCGTCATGCGTAAGACAAACTATATCCGCGTCCTGGGTAAGACGATAAACTACATCCAGCAGCAAGGCCTCTGATCAGGAGTTTTTGAGGAGCGTGGAACCACCTCTTAATTGCTGGTGTTCCCAGGTACACCCAGACTATTACCAGCAATACATTTTTTTTAAAATTATTAACAGCAATACAATTTTGAAAGAAAAATATTACCAGAAACAGATTTTTGACGAAACAAAATATTACCAACAATAAAAAATGTTGTCGGCATTAAATAACCCATTGAGGTTAATATGCTGTAAAACAAAATAAACCAAACCAATCTAAACCAAAGAATACATATTCTATTCATACGAATTTATCCTAAAAATGTTGTCGGCATTAGATAACCCATTGAGGTTGATATGCCGTAAAACAAAATAAACCAAACCAATCTAAACCAAAGAATACATATTCTATTCATACGAATCTATCCTAAAAATGTTGTCGGCATTAAATAACCCACTGAGGTTGATATACCGTCAAACAAAATAAACCAAACCAAGCCAAACCAAAGAGGAAAACTCTTCAGAACAGTTACCTTGAAAATATATTTTTTTGATTTTGTCGAATCCACAGTATAGTAGGGTCAGTTGGGCACTGACTGTGAGAAAAAGAGCACCATGGCACAATTCACTCCGCCAGGAATTTGGAGACGGCAGTACTGCTTGGCATTTGCACCAGAAGCTCCAATACAAACATTTCGGATAGTTAGGGTGTCAATCTGAGGACGATGCAGAGGATATGGAGAGAGTTGGATGATTCTAATGGTGATTACGAAGGTGTTTGTAGTTATCACTAGTAATAGCAAGGTTATGCCTCCATTCATCTTCCCACAAGGCCTCAGACTCAACATGAAGGCCTACTCCTAGTGCCTTGAGAAGGTAGTGCTGCCCTGGGTCAAGAAAGTGACTCCTGGACAAACCCATGTCTGGCAACAGGACTCTGAACCCAGTCATGGATATCAGACAATTTCTGCAGCCACATCACCCCTAACACCTGGGCACTTAACTCCCCAGACTGCAACCCCCCTTGATTATTATGTGAGGGGCACAGTTGAGTGAGAGACCAACAAAACTCCTTGTAATACCAAAGATGAACTGAAGGCAAGGATTATGGCAGTATTAATCAACTTAAACAAGGAGACCGTCCAGAAGAGTTGCAGGAGATTCTGAAGTCGTCTGGGAGGCCGTGGTTGAAGCCAAATGGTGATTTTTGTGAATAAATTTCCTTTTTAGCATTTAAAGATAGTTTTTGTGTAATTTCTGTAAATATATCTGTTGAAATGAGATGTCAGTGTTATTTTAATTTTTGTGTAAATTTGACGACAATTTATTGCACCCTGGATATTATTATTCTTTCTTCTTTTTAGATTTTATCTTCTGACCTCTTTTTACTCCATAACATAATCTGAAGAGGAGGGTTAAATGCTATTTTCTACATGTACCTCTCTCAGCGGGTGTGACCAAAGTATATACGACCAATCTGTATAGTATTGCCCTCATATCTGGGCTGGTGTTGCCCAGGCTTTACTGTCTAACCTTAACATAGTGCTTGATCAATTAGGCAATATTATCTTGAATTATTTTTCACAAACGAAACGTTGTTAACATCTCACTACTCCATCGTTATTACTATAGGAAATATTAAAACGAACACTGGTGGAGTGATCCAAAAAGTGATTTGACTCAAAGAGCTGTGAGTTCAATACCTGGCCGTGGCAGAGGGAACAAAAGCTTGGAGTATTCAGGGAAATAACTGAAACTGAGATATCCAGAAAAGGCGTGGCACATGAAATTAGAACAATCTACCCCTGGGAACTAAATAAAGGGTTTCAGTTCGTAATTCCAACGTATATCACCTGAAGAAGGCCTAAGCGTACAACGGCCGAAATGTCGTGCACATGACAATAAAGATGTGGGCAAAAGTCCGAATGCTTTAAATAGTGAAAATTGTTACCTCATCTCAGGAATGTAGACAGTTTCTGAAGAAAGGCGGAGCGTACAACGGTTGAAACGTCTTGAATATGGTAATAAAGATGAGACAACAGTCCTAACAATGTAAATAGTGAAAATAATTACAATACCTCATCTCAGAAATATCAACAGATTCTGAAAAAGTCCAGAGTGTACTACTACCGAAACGTCGTGAATATGGCAGTAAAGACGAGGAGAACAGTTCGAACAATGTAACTATTGAAAAGAGTTACAATACGTCATCTCAGGAACATAGACTGATCCTGAAGAAGGGTGGGGCGTTCAATGGTTGAAACGTAGTGAATATGACAGTAAAGATGAGGACAGCAGTCCTAACAATGTAAATAGTGTAAATAGTTTCCTCAAAACTCTTAGTTGTGAAGGTCTGAGTGGATCTAAGAAATGTAGCTTGTTTAAACATTTATTACGGAAATAGCAATAAGGTAGCGATAGGTTAGCAGGTTTTGGCGGAAAAAAGGTTGTGTAAGGTGGGAAATAATGCATCATACGTAAGGTCGTTTAAACGCTTTTGAACCCTATCAAGACCAGAAAGTGAAGATTGATCAACTCCAAACCACATATGGCTGCATTACTCTATTTAAGGGTCTCGTCTGATTTTTCACCTTTTCTTTCATATTCCATTAGTAAGGAGTAAATTTAAATCAGATAGCTTCTTTCCCAGAACTCTTGCAATGTGGAATGCTCTCCCTAGGGAATGCTTCCGTTATTTTTACAACCTTAATCTCTTCTAAGATCAACCGTGGATTATCCTAGACATCAATATATGCAACATTTTCTCCCTCCTGATATGCTCTTGCAAGATCAACATTCAGTAACTTTCTTCCTGGAGTGGCTCTTGAGCCTTGTATTTGATGAACTGTAATAAAAATAACAACAATGTCTTCTCTCATTATTTTCCCATTTCAGTCTCTGCTTATCTTACTTTGTTCCTCCTCATCTTCCTCTCCATTTTTAACGCCCTCCTCTTTCTCCTATATTCATTGCTTCCTGTCGTACTGAAAGATGACATCTCATAATTGTTAGCAAAATTAAAAAAAGATAATGTGCTTTTGTTGAAAGTCTTATTCATCCAGTAAGCAAATCTCTAATCAAAGATCTTTTGGATGAGATAACAAATCTGACGAAGCAAGTGAGGGAACGAGAGAGACATTGGCTTACCTTTCATCGTCAACACTATTTTGGGTGTGAAACCTTGAAGTGATATCAAAATTATCCTCTTTTTTTGTTTTCGAATCTTTTCTTCTTTATATTCTTATCAGATCAAAATCAGAGAATTCATTCATAATTTTCCTCTAGTATATTTTATGCCCATAGTCTCTCTCTCTCTCTCTCACACACACACACGCACATACAAACACACACACATAACGGCATGTACACGCACATACCTTGCTATACTTCTATAAGAATATTGCTGCCATATATGGTTTGGTGGTTTTGCGATATAATTAAAGATCATTGAGGAAATTCAAATAAAGAAGAATCTGCTATGTTATTACTTCTGTCCAGGCATCTCAGCTTTCGTTTTTTCCCCACCGCCATAACGTAACTTTTCTGGAAATATTTTCATTATAATTGTTCTGATTAATTTTCGACTTTGTTACCGAGACTTTATGAATTTACACGCAGTACTAGATTGGTGGTTAGGTCTCATCATTTTAAAGTTAAAATGGTTAGATCTAACTATAAGTTCTATGCTAAGAGTTTTTTCTCTTGCATTTCGCTCCTGTTGGACTCTCTTAAGGCTTCTTACTTTCAAGTTTGATCTTCAAAAATTTAAATGCAATATCAATTGTTATCTTCTGCCTTTTTAGTTACTATTCTTTTATTTTTCTCGCTTCCTTAATAATTCCTTACTTTTTCTTCTATTTCATCACACTCACTATTTCCCCTTGCGTTTAAGTGGCTTTTTTTCAATATTATTATTTGTATCCCCACCACCAGAGACCAATTGTACATATGGGAACTAGTTAGGACTTCATATATACTTTAAGGTATTATGGCAGTAGAAAGAATGTGTTGTTTTGGTGTAAGGAATAGTTTGTTATGTTTGGGTCAGTAATTGTAATTAGCTAAGTTTAAGATAAGACAGACTGAAGACCAGTCTTCCCCTGTCTCCCCTTTTTTGGCCTTGTGCCACATTTTTGTATCTGTAAAATAAATATTAGCT